TGCAAAATTTTCAAATGCATCATCAACATCATATACACACATATTCCCTTTGTGAAAGCAGTCTTCTCTCATCGAGTTGCCGGTTTTCTTTTTTTTTCTTTTTTTTCGGAGCGTCGTTATTTCAGAAACAAACAGAATTCTCGGCTCGGCCCGTCTATCGTAATTACATAACTGCTCTTGGTCGTGTGGTATGTTCTTCTTATTTTCGATGTGCAGCAAGGAAGAAGAAGAGGTCTGTTCTTAGAAAAAGAATTGGAATCTGTTATCAACAACGTCGGGTGTCTTATTAGAATGAGACGGTATGCCGTGGCCGGTGCCTGAAACCAGTTCTTCCGACGCGCCGCGCTCCCCGCAGAGGCTGCTGCAACCTCGGCTCAGGCAGGCAGCCACCAGCTAGCATCTAAGCAGGCAGGCAGTCAGCAGCAGCAAGCAGCGGAGCCTGTCTGCCTACGTAGAGCCGGAGCGTTGAGAAACCTCTTTTATTTTCAGCATCACAACGCGTACACTCGAATGCAAAATCGCAGCAGGCTCATCCGATGTGATGATGAGGTAGAAGAGGACGATTTCATACGGAATATGGTAGTCATGGAAACTACGTAAAATGCTATACTAGAAGAGTACCATCGAGTAGGCTGGTAGCCAGAATTGATACAATTCAGAGGCATAAATGCATGATGATTTACAATTGCTACTGACAAATATAAAATGGATATGATCACAACTTTTATGACCGTAGAAAGTAAAGCTGTAGTAGATCAATATGAATCGGCGCGCGATAAGTTTTCCGTATACTACTGTACATTCATCTTGCTTGCATTTCGTGTCGATTTCAATGGTACCGAGCGAGGCGTTCGTTTCTGTGAAGTGCGTTATTATTTCAACTGTCGTCCTTGATTCGAAGGAACGACGACCATTCGTCGGTCGGGGTCGCACGATTCTTCTTCCGCTTCTCTTGCGCGCTCTGCATGCGATCAAGCAAGCGGTGGTGACCCTCTGGTCATTGGCTCCAGAGGCGATTCCGACGCCTCCAGCCAGGCTCCTCGTCGTCGCCGTCGGGTTGGAATGGACCTCGCTCGCACACGACGCACATATCTTCTCTCCTTCTCCTGCTGCTGCTGCTGCATACTGCGTATCGTGTGGGCAGCGTGGCCGGCGCTGCGAGCGGTCGTTCTCTCGAAACCCCCAACATCATGATCAATATCGGTCCCGGAATATGGGAATACATTCAGTTCCATCACATGAGCCAGGCACATAACTCGTGCCGCGCTCCAACGTTTATCTCTTCGTCGCGATCCTGAAATCTTCTAAACGGTTACAAACGACGCGCGGAGGATTGATATAAAATTGGACTAGAATCGCCGTCCGAAACGCGGTGGTGTGTTACGCGTGTGTGTGTGTTCGCCGCGGCCTCCGGTGATGCCTTTTCGCGGTTTTCTTCGCGTGACGCCGCGGTTGGTGGGGGATTGCCCTGTTTTTTTTTTTATAAATACTAAAAGCTAAAATCGCGCGCGCACTTTTGCTGCCCTTCCTCGCATATTTCTGGTTTATTTTCTTCATTTTCGACCAAACAGTGTGTCACACACATAAACAACGGTTTGCTAATTCAATTTTGACCTCAGTTTACCAGAAACGCATCCACAATTAGTGACAATTACCAATTTCACAAGAATATCAATATTATTACAAGATTTCATGGTTTGCGTAACGTACTAATCATCAAGAAAGAAGAGATTTTAGCTAACTTCAATATTATGATTGTAATTAGCTTGAAGAATTTTGTTCTGAAACATTTTCTTTCCATTACTTATTAAACTTTGTCATTTATAGATCTAAATTACCAATTTAATTATTTAGTATTATAAAATGACAAATATAGAAACACGTATGCTTTAATCTAATAGAACCTTTTGTATTAATTAGAAAATACTTCTTCTATAAAAAAAAATATTCGTATTCCATTCGATATACATTTCCAAATTGACAATTCATTAATTAAGACTAATTAACGTATTAAGATAGGTAACTAGTATTTAAGTGCTTATTGATCCATCGATCGAATACATACGAAGAAAAAAAAGTAACAGTGATAATAATAGATTATTGGGTAATGAATGGAGTGCGGTCGTAAAGTTTTGTGGGACAAATGTTGTAGCAGTTGCGGTTACGGTCGAACCACCACCACGTCCATCTCCATGTTTATCGTCGCTGTATGCAGATATTATCGACGTAGCGGATAACTGGATCGCATCGTTTGGATGCGTTTGCCATTGCGTACTTTTGGCGGCGGTTTGCGGGGCGGAGGTCGGCCCGTTCGTTCGACGTGTTTGTTGTGTAACCTCCTGGTCGAATGGACTGTGTGTCTGTGTGTGTGTGTACGTAGTGCGTGCACGAGTCGCTCTACGTTTGTTGACAGAAGTTCTGTTTTGTGTTTGCATTTGCGGCCTCACGTGGAATGGGCGGCGGCAGAACCACCGCCTCCCCATGGGGGCGGCAAAACCACCGCGATGTCATCCATACACACACACATCTGTCGCGTCGTAAAGATAACACACACTTTGACCTAAAAACACGTATTGTTTAAAGTCCTGCTTCGTGCAGAAAAGTCTGCCACTATCATTGTAGTCATTAGCGTACGACAACTGACCATGAAATCTGAATACTTTTTAACTTTTCAAAATTGATTACGGGATAGCATTAGGTGTAAGACAAGTTACAACAAAGAATTCTGCTCTACTCTTACAGCTATGCGACACGTTTACATTAAACCCCCAAAGTAATACTTACGTTTTTTGTTTGTGTGTTTAAACTTAAGTGTTTCCGAAAGAACTGTGAATGTTAGGAACAAGTTACTATACGAAGTTGATTGCATAAAGTGAAACATTGCATTTTCCTACTCTTCGTCCGATTTGCCGGTTGGCGTTCGTTGATGCCTGTGAAGAGCTGCAGTCCCATCAGCACGAATTGCAGCGGAGTCGGACAACCGGTGGGGGCCCAGGGCTCCCACCCCCCACGAATGGGGCCCCATCCTATGTGTAACATGATACCGCACGTGCACGCGGATCCCTTCTATTGCTCCCCATTTGGAAACCCCTATTACAGGTAACGCAATGCAAAATACGCAGCGTTAAAACATCGAAAGTGTTAATTATCGCGAATGCGGAGACAACAAGTTGTTGTTCGCAAAGATGTTTCTCAAACTTTCGGAACGGATTAGAATTACTATTTGAGCATCGAGGTGACGGTTGTAACAAAAATTACATGAAAATGTTAATAGGAAATCTGTTACATTAAGGCATTTTCTAGACTGAATTTGGAAAAGCGTGTCAAGGAAATTGTTGTTGCCGTACACGTGAATCGGTGTTTGATATCTGTGCGCGGGCAGCCTTCGCGTTTTGTTTATATCGTTGATAAATTTAGAATTCGCCGCACGAAAAACGTCCTTTCGTCTACAAATCCTAGAGAAAACGTGCATTTAGAAACGATGCTTCGCTAATTGACGACGTCGGAAGGAAGGAAGGAATTCTTGCACTTGTAAAACGTTTCACTGTTCAACCGCTTTGCTGTTGTACCTCTCCTGTCTTCAGCTTCTATTGAAGATAATTAACGCACGGACGCAGACAAATAATATGCATGCCCGAAGGGGAAGGCTCGCGATCTCAATTAATACAGTCGTATACTATTATATGCGCTTGATTAATGGCCTGCTCCTGACTATTATTACTAACGGCGAAAGAAAAACAAGCGGTCTTGATCGAATTAATAAAGTATCACTTTCTATCCGATGATTTATATATATATATATATATATTATGTGCGTGTACATATACTTGATGTAAATGGTAAACGTTTGATGTAAATATAAATCTAGTTTCATATCTTCAAATTTAATTTGCATTTGAAACTAAGACGCTAATGTTAATTTGATCTGTTCTTTGACTTTTATGTCATTAGAAGAGTGATTTTCGTCACGGTCTGAGAATGTATCCTCCAGAACGAACGAACGGAGGAATTCGTAAAGATGTGTCGGTTCGCGTAAACGCTAACGGTGGATTTCGGTAGCGGTATATTATTCTCCTCATTGTCCGAGCAAACATTGGCCGGTGGTGGCCGGCCACGCCAGAGATTTACAAATTAACGTCCGCTCGCGAAGATGATGGAAGTATCAACAAGTTGCCGTGTTCGTCCAATTATTGCGTTCTCACGATGTGTCATGAAACGGCAAACAAACGGCGGCAATAATTGGACAAGTTTCACAAATGGTCACGTGAAATGCGTGTAAAACGTAATCAGCTTCTCTCTCTCTCTCATACACACACTTGCCTGCTAAATCATCTAAATCTGTTTACTTCTTTCTGCAAATCGATGGGATCAAAGGTTGCGTCGGGGTTGCGCTTCTATTAATTATGTAACGTCATCAGGATTATGTTTTCTTTTGATGTTACTACTACCATTGAGCGTCATCGCCGCCGCCTCTTGAGGTCGTGTTCTTGAACTTGCGCTTAATTTTCTTTCTATGGCATTGTCACCGTTGCTGCTGTTGTTGTTGTTAATCCTGTCAATTAGTTACGTCTCATGCAAGACTATTACTATATTCCATGTAGAGTTTATCCGGAGTTCGGTTCCTTCTGTTTCCTATTAGATGCGGACATTGATTACGGTAATCAATCTGCGGTAATCCTCGGGATGACGTGAGGCACGCGCCGATAGTATCGCGCCTCATGCAACACAACACAAAGAGAGGATGACCACACGCGGTCTGTGCCAGCCAGTCAGCCAAAGCTGCCCCACTTAGATCTTCTCACCCGACGACCTGTTGATTCTCCTCGCTCTAGTATAGCAGCCCCCCAATATGCATGCACACACTCACACGAATAATATACATACATACACGCTCACGTAGATGTATAGGTATGGTTGCCCTAAAACCCTTTCTGTTCCATCCACACGCCATCCGAATGATGAATATGTTGTTGCTAATATTGTTTTCTCGATGTTTTTAGATCTCTGCCGGTGCCCAGGCGGCATACACCTTACTTTGGTCAACCCGATTACCGCATCTACGAACTCAACAAGCGGCTGCAGCAGAGGACAGAGGTGAGCAGAAATGTAATGATCCAGCTTTTTACTATTACTTTACTAACTTTAAATCAAGCTTGCAAACACACACACAAAAAAAAACCTCTTCCATCCACCAACCAACTCTCATCTAACAGTCAAAAAATGATTGAAAACTGACAACGTTTCTCAAGTGTCCTGTGTCGATATAAATAATTTAAATTTTAAACAATGTGATTAATCAATCATTAACTAATAACATTCTTATCCAATTTATTTTATTCTTATACCGTTTATAACTAAGAGTTTTCGAGAAGAAAAATGTCAGTTGTGCAATTGCGAACTTTCATCAAATGCGCATTTGATGACTATTATTTATTACCAGACGCTGCAGAGGTTTTGCAACTGAATGAAATTGCTGCAATCGGGGATATTATTTTTTTTTTTTTTAAATTCATTTGGTTAATTGGTTCGGGCCTTGGGCTGGATGGAATATTGGATTCGTAGTTCATTTACCACTAATTCAAATAACAAATTTGTTGTGTTTGATCTACGAAAGCAATGCAAGATTATTACATTTAGCAAACTAATTGGTGGTTGCTGAAAAAAAAAATGATAATAACATGATTAAGATCATCGGCAATATTCTAACAATTTGTGTTTTTTTTTCTCTCTCTTCTGCTTGCAGGAAAGTGATAACCTTTGGTGGGACGCTTTCGCCACGGAGTTCTTCGAAGACGATGCCTCCTTGACGTTATCATTTTGCTTAGAAGATGGACCTAAACGATATAGTAAGTCTGATTAAACTCCATCAAGCAAGGAATGAAATTTAATTTTGATGTGTTTTGCAGCAATAGGAAGGACATTAATACCGAGGTACTTTAGAAGCATATTCGAGGGCGGTGTGACGGAGCTCTACTATAACATGAAGCACCCGAAAGAATCCTTCCATAATACTAGTATTACACTCGACTGTGATCAATGCACCATGATTACGCATCATGGCAAGCCGCTATTTACCAAGGTACGTTGTTTGCTGTGAATGTTTAGCGCATATTTTTTATATTAATATAACCCTTCTTTTTTTCGTTACCAGGTGTGTACCGAGGGTCGCCTTATCCTAGAATTCACGTTCGACGACCTGATGCGGATAAAGTCGTGGCATTTCGCTGTGCGAACGCACCGGGAGCTCATCCTGCGGTCCGTGGTCGGCATGCATTCGCAGCAGGATCCATCGGTGTTAGATCAATTATCAAAGAATATCACACGACAAGGCATAACTAATTCTACTTTAAATTATCTTAGGGTAAGAAGTGCTACTACATCATTCGCCGTATGCAACAACAACAACACTAATGCTCCTTTTCATTTTCGTTTCAGCTATGTGTAATATTAGAACCAATGCAGGAACTAATGTCCAGGCACAAAGCGTACGCGCTGACACCGCGGGACTGCCTAAAGACGACGCTTTTTCAAAAGTGGCAGAGGATTGTTGCCCCGCCGGGTAAGCGAGGTACCCATTTCATTGCACTAAATGGTATTCATTCCTACTAAACCCACATCCAGTTTCGTTTACTCTTTCTTTCTTCATGCACCAATCTATACATCTCTCTCTCTCTCTCTCTATTCAATCTTTATCTACATCTCTTGAAACTGATTACTCACCTGGATTAAGTTTAGTAAAAATGAATAAAAAGCCTATAACCATGGTTATTTGCACGAATACATCTACCCCAAATGACCGTATTCAATTCGCTTGATCGCTCCAAACTATTCGATTTTGAAACTTTGTAAAGTTTCAAAATTATGTAAGTGGTCCGATTAAACGCGATTGATGTTCGCGTCGAAAATTGTTGTTCTTCTGATAACGTATACTAACGCATTTTTGCGATTTTCTTTTGTTTGTTTTTATTAAAGAGCTGCAGCGGCCCGCGAACAAGAGGAGGAAACGCAAAGGGTCCAACTCCGGCGGGGCGGCCAACAGCGCGCCGCCAGCCCCAAACAAGAAACGATCACCGGGCCCCAACTTCTCGCTAGCATCACAGGTTAGTGTTGCTTGACAAGCACGAGATCAGGTCAAATGCAATTGTTCGCTGTCGTCATCATTCGTCGATGCGTGTTGTACGTGCTAATACTGAAATCTTTTTTTTGCAGGACGTGATGGTGGTGGGCGAACCCTCGCTGATGGGCGGCGAATTCGGCGATGAGGACGAACGGCTGATCACGCGGCTGGAGAACACGCAGTACGACGCGGCGAACTCCTTGGACCACGACAACCACGGCTTCCACGCGGACTCCCCGATGCCCGGCTCGAATACGTGGGGCCCGGGCCCAGGAGACAGGGGTGGACCGGGTGGCGTGGGCCCACCGCAAGGGGGCACCCCCTCCAACCAGGACTCCGATAAGAAATCACCCGCAGTGAGCCAGTGATGTTAGTAGTTTTACGGTTTTTTCTTCCTCGACGGTTTATTTTTTTTAACAATTTCTTTATTTTATTATTTTTTTTTTGCTCTTCTGTTTCCTAATAACTATTTAAGAACGCAACAACACAATTGTGAATCTCTCCAAGTCAGTATTTTGTTCGATTGAATTGTGGGACTGCATTGATATCACATTAGTCCTTATTCTTATTTCTCTCCTGTTGTTCCGTTTTTCGACATGGAAGTTTCCGAGCGTTTCACAACAATACTTTCTTCTTCTTTTCGTGCAAAGAGGGAACAACCAACTTTTATTCATATATAATTTTTTTTTTATTTGCGAAAAAACGAGTTATCATCGTGTGTGGACACGTCTTTCGACAAGGACAATTTCGTTTCCGTGTGCAATTTTTCTTTGTTTTACATTAATTAATTTCGGTTCTTTTTTCGAACCACTCACCAATGGTACCTCTACAAGATGCAGTTAAGTTGTGTACAGTAGATTTTAAACATCACACACTCACTCATATACACACCACATACAAAGACATACACACACACAATACAACCCTTTTCGAAATAAAGTATTGATTAAAAGAGGGAAAGAAATGCAACAAAAAAGAAGAAGAAGAATGAGAACGTTCCACACAGTCACAATACCACGAATTAACCATGCATTTTCTATTTTTTTTTTTTTAATGATTTGAAATTGTTTGATAGCCGCGCAATGCAAGAACGATTATAGCAATTCTATAATATATGTATTTTATTTTATTTTTTTTATTTTCTCGATGCGATATATTTTATGTTCCTATTGGTTTCGTTTTTAGAATGATTTCGTTTTTATTCTCCTTATATAAGCAATTCATTGTAAATTACGCGCATTTCTCCTTTCTCCGTTTTAACGGGAAGGAGCGAGGAAGAGAAACGAATGCATCAGGTTTGCATCGGTGATTCCAGCTATTCGACAATTTCAAAGCGCCACTCCCTCAACAAATGACTCCTCCCACAAAACCATCACAAAACCCCACCCCCACCAGTAAATGTCACACATATTCCGCCGACGTTGCGATGATGTTGTGATCATCGTCGACGGTCGGCAAGGCTCGTTTTTTTTTTGTTCTCCTTTTTTGTTTATAGTCATGATTCGTTGGAGTGAGCTGAGCTCTCGGGAAAGAAACTTAATGATTAATGATGATGATGATGATACATTTTACTTTCGTTCGGAGCGACTCTCCTGTATTAGGATGAATTTTGTATAGTAAATATAAATTGTATAAGATACTTATATATAATAATAATAATAATATTGATAATGATAATGAAGATGATGATGTCCATTTTTTGATGAATATGTAACGGAGATTTACATCCCGATGTGATGTATTTTATATGATTGAGCGCCTGGAGACACGACTGCGAATGTGTGTTTATGATGATGATGATTATGATGAAGATGGTGATGATGATGCAAAACAAAACAAAACAAAAAAAGAAAGAATGGAAGAAATTATTTGTCGATAATCTAATCTAATATTGTCATACTGAAAATCTATAATCATGTTATAATTTATTCTTTATTTTATTTTTATTTTTTTTGATTCCTTAATTTATATACAATAATGATGAGACGAAGACGATGATCATCATGAATACGTGATTACGACGTACGTGTGTAAGCGGAACATTTGTTATGTACATTTTTGCACATATTTTTTATGTTGAACGTTTCGAGTGTATTTATATTATATATTAGGGACTTTATTGTCTAAGGTACAAATTAAATGGGATTTATAAATAAACGTAGTCTATAAATATTATATATTAAAAACAAAACAAAATAAAAAAGAAGCGAAAAACAAAAAAAAGAATAATAAAACAAATTTGTTGGCGGGCGGATGGAAAGGAAGAAAGAAAGGACGAGAATTGACGAAGAGAGGACGATGATGATGATGATGACTATGATGACTGCTACTACTGCGAGATATGATTGTAACCTATGTAATATATATATAAATGATGATTTTATTTTTCTTCTTCTGTTGTTGGCATTTTCAGTGTGACCGCTATTAGATTTATTTCCGTTTCCGATTGATTTACTTTTTTTTTTTTGAATTTGAAATATTACATTTCTTGGATGGGCGGCGGGACGGATCGACTGCAATCCTTCCCACCCAATCTATAGGTGTCGGAATGATTGATTTAATTGTAAAACATTGTAATTGAAATAAATTGAAATTCTGGGACTTGCAGTATTTCTCTCAAACTACTACAGACAAAGTATAAAGAAGCAGAAAATTGAAAATTTATTTTATCATCTACTATTATTATTATTGTTGTTGTTGTCACCATCCTCTATTTGTTTTTTGGTCAGTAGTCTCGCGTGTGTGTGTGCGTGTTACTTCTTCTACATCACTTTCATACAAACGCACACACACACATGTACAGACTCTCAATTTATCTTAATTTTTCACTTATTCAGGTTTGTTGAAATTATTTTGTATAATCTCATGTGTAAAAATTAAAATTAATTTAAAAAAAAAAACATGATCGTGGGATTTTGCGCGGATTTCGAAGCAGTCCGAATCCCAACGGAGCAGCAACGTAAATATAATCAGTTTTATTTAAAACGTTCGATAGTTTTATTTGTTCGCCATATCCACCTTATTTATTTATTTCTTGATGAAAACAGGTAAAGGAAGGTAAGAGTAAGTTCGATAACTGTAAAAAGCATCGAAATAAAAACGAAATTTTGTATTAAAAGAAAACATTATTTTTATTCAAATATTAATTAAAGATAAAATTCGATGTTCACATATTGTTTCTTCATATATAATATTGCCATTTAATAAAGATGTTTTTTTTTGTTTGCACGCAAGGGTCTAACGTGATTTTTGGTGTTTCCAAATATTACTAACTAATAGTCAATTATGAACCAACCATCTTGTGCTTTTGGAGCGTCGTTGGTCCCTAATGAGAAATAGAATTAAAAACCAATTCTTTCTCTCAAATGACTCGAGCAGATGAGTGGGTTGTTTAAAGAATAGATATGAGAAAAAAAATATTTATTTCAATGAACTTTGCGGATGTGTACAATTTGGATAAGTTATTGGGAAAATCACGAGGACTCGACGGCTGGTTCGAGGACGGCACCGCTATATGCCAGATCCCAGTAGTGCTCGACCTTATGCTTTTTAAAGTGTTCACGCGCAAGCTTCTCCATCGGGCATACCTTGAACTTGAGCTCGCCGAAGTTGCGCTGCTTACTGGTACCCTCCCAAACCAGAGAACACTTGTTGGGCACCTCGTTACCATCGGGATCGCGTACCGTGTCTTCCTCCCATTTGATGCGGTTCAACATTAGCCGTTTGTATGCCTTCTGCTGCTTGGGGCCGCCCTCTACAACGACCACGCAGCAATCCGGGTACAGCATCACGCAGCCGGTCATGAAAAGCTGCTTGGCGTTCGTCTCCACTTTGAACTTCTTGGAAGCCAACTCGTGGAGGTTTCGGATCCGGTAGATCGAGACGAACACTCCGAGCGTCGTGTCCTCCTTGATCTTCTTGATTTTCTTGTTGCGTTTCTCCTCGGCGGTCAGTTGACGTGAGGCGTTCATCTCCTCGTGCGCCTTCTGCCGTTTCGCCATCTGTTCGCGTACGTGCGCTTCAATCTTGGTCGGATCCTGAACGGCCTCCGTGCCCAACACTCGCATCAAGTTAGATATACGTAGCTTCGGCTCGGGCGGTGCCTCCAGACCGAGACGGATCTTCTCCTGCTCCTCCTTCCAGGCCTCGCGCCTGTTCTGTCGTCGCAACTTCTTCCTCTCCTTCTTCGTCAGAAACACCGGCATGTAGACAGGTTTAATTGGATCCGTGGGACACCTCATCTGCGTCGGATGCTCCACCAGATTGTTTATTACCTGACGCTTGATCGCGATCTTGTCGTCTTTCATCGTGTCCAGATTATCCTCCAGGATGACGGAATCCCACCACTCCATCTGCGGGATGTCCTCGCAGAGACCCTCAGACTTTGCGATAAGCGCAAGCTTTGTGGCCGACGAAATGCCAGTCTTCTTTGCGATCTGCGAGATCTCGTTCTGCAGCTTCTCCAGCTGCGCTCGCATTCGGAGCCTCTCGGCCTGCTGCAGGAATTTGCCTGGTTCATGGAATCGCAGCGCCCGCTTGTTCCTGATAATAGGTTTGATGCCAATCCTCGGATCGAAGAAATTCGCTTCCGGCGAATCATCCTCGTGACGATCGCCCTGCGTCCTGAACTGTTCTCTCTTCTGCGCTCTAATATTAGCTTTAAGAGTCGGCGCGACGTGCGTTAATTGAACTGCCTTACCTGTCTTATCTACAGTGCGTCCATCCTCATCCAAAATGAGTGGAGTGGGTTTATCTGGCACAGGCACAGGAATCACCACACTACCCAGGATGCCTGTGGACAGTTTATTCTTGATCTGTGCCTGCAGCTGCGCTATTTTCCTTGCCTTGTCTGCATCCCCTCGATTCAGCAAACCCATAGGTATGCCATATATGCTTGCAGGTGGAACAGGTATATTGGGAAGGTTACTTTGGGCTGCAGCAGAGTTCCTCGAGGATGAATCCAGGTTTCTCTTCCTCTCCTCAATCTGCTTCTGTGCCGTCTCCATCATTTCCTTTATTCTATTGCTGGATAACTTCTTCTCCTCAACCTTCTCTTCAACCACAACCCTAGAGGGCTTGGCTCGCTTCGAGTCTTTCTCCCCACGATCACTACTATCCTTCGACTCCTCATGGTTTCGTTTTTTTGATCTGTATTTAACATCGTCCAGTAAATCAAAGATTTTATCTGTTAAACGGGAGGCTTTCTTACTGTCAACGTAGGAGGACAATTTGTACACTGTTTTCTTGCGATCGTAATTTGCGTCCAGACAATCCAATGCTTTGCTAACCAACGAAGAGTCCGAAGATCCCAGCAACTTGTACACAGCCTTATCGATGTTTGGCTTCAGCTCCTCAATCTCTTTCCTCGACAAATATGCCATTGTTTCTCCTCTGCACTTTACACACCACCACTGTTTATTGTTAAAATTTCAATGACATTTTAGAGAAAACGTTTTCTCAACGAATATTATATCTTTCACTTTATTGTGGCTCCCCTGTCTGTCTGTCACTGTCAAAATTAACTAAAACTTCAACGCGCGGTTAATTTAAATGATTATTATGTTTCAGCTTTTCATCTCATTGAGCAATTACAAATACAATTACACTACTAAATTCAATTTGCAATAGTAATAGAAATCAGCAATAAGTGATACTAAAATGTTACCAGGGTGCAACGAATTGTAACCAATTTCACGCGCATATTGTAATTTATTTCAAAAACAACGCGAAGTTAGTTGCAATTTAAAGATAAGGTTGTAAGCAAGATGAACTTTCGGCAAAATTGTATTTAGCAAGTTAATACTTAAAGATTGTGATAGTTATGCACCAGTGATATTCGCGTTGCACAAGAGGAACGCATATTCCAGGCCCGATGACTCTGAAGTATAGGAAAAAGTTGAAATACTTGCTAACACCGCTACTAATAGTCTCGCTAGTGTTCATTGTTTACCAGCTGATAATATTCACGCAGCTCTCTTCTCTAAACAATGTGAAGAGCAAGGAGGAGCACGTCTTGGGCATACACGAGTATCAGGCGCCTTTATACAAGCCTGTGGATAACAACTTTCGATGTCTGGTCAGTCAGGAGTATGTGGACTACAGAAGGGTGAATGATGATTACTGTGACTGCATCGATGGCAGCGACGAACCCGGCACAAATGCTTGTCCCACCGGCAGCTTCTTCTGCACATCTCAAACCAGGCATCCCCTGTTCAAACCCTTGATTCCATCGAACCGGGTCAATGATGGCATCTGTGATTGCTGCGATGGATCCGATGAATATCTACACAAAAAGTTACAGTTCCAACTACCCTGTATGTATTCCATTTCCAATCATCCGTATCATTATTATAGAGGGTCTTTATGTTATTTCAGATGACACTCAGAAGGCTCTGAGGAAGTTCATGTCTCCCTGTCAAAATCATTGCCCTTAAACAAAGAGGAGGCTGTCCAATCTCATTATTTATTATTTATTTGTAATGAATAAAGTGCCTTTTATTTTAATCAGTATTAGAGAGCTCTGCAGGACTTCTAGCTAGTAATTGCATATGAACTATTTGGTAAATAGTTCAAATGCGTTTTATGGCTCTCCTGCAAAGCGAACTTTACGTTTGTAAAATATATTTGTAGAATAAAGTAGGACTAGTGTTTGATTATGTGGTTGCATACATTGGGTTCGGTTTGAAAACGAAATTTGTTTTCATCTCGCTTAGATAACACGTAACATTCCTTCGTCAACAGAATGATCGGTGATGTAAATAGCTAATATTCAGCAACCGTGCGTGGGAGGATCACCGACGGTTGCATACAGTGCGAAATTGGTGTCAACTGTCACAGCTCGTGACATTGGCGAGTAGTTTATTGTTATTTTAAATTTCGCTACAAATTTGGCGAGGTGAACGACACCGCCGAGGCTGTTCGTGTGAGGAGCGCGAAAAAAATCACCTGGCTTCAATCATTAGGTAGGTGCCACGAGAATTCCGCGACTGCGGTGTTTGTTATGCTTCGTTTTTTTTTTTGGTTGTTGGAGGTGGGTCTTAACCCCACTTTTAAATGTCAAAAAATCGCATTTAATGTTTGGCAAAGGCTCTCGCGATTAATTGGCGTTTAAAGAGTTCGCCGATCCATTCCAGTTTTCCCGCTCGAATGTGCGCCAGATTTGCACGGAGCTCGACCCTGACGTTCAGGGGAATTCCCTCGTTTATAATTAGATGGGTCGGGTGTCGAGGACCCTCTTTTTCGCAGTGCACGAGCAGAAATAATAATAATAATAGTAAGCATCGTGTAATTATTGATAAACATTAATTATGGATGGCTTGATTAATGGGCAAACTGTCATTTCTGACAGAAGAGGGTCAGCATGTCCAGAGAGTTCTCAATGCAACCATGACCATCAGCAATATATAATCATATTAGCTTTGATCTTTCAGATTTCTATAATCGTTACATTTGGAGATGCTCATGATTCATATCCTCGGATATTTGATATTTTGCATTGCTCGAATTTCTATATATTTTAACAAGGATTAAATTTGCGTGATTTATGCATGGATCAAGAGTGCGTTTATTTGATTTGGTTTTCTTTCTTGATGTGTTGATTTACGATGTGTGCGGGTTTTGTCATAATATTATTTTGCACGCTGAGTTGTGAGTTTAGCAACCGTAGAAAATAAATATGTCACGGTGTATTTACTAATTGGTATAATCAATTGGCGCGCGTCCAGCGCGTTTGATGGCACTAATAATAAAGGCTAGCTGGCTGGAAGAGAAAGAAAGACATCGTTGGATGATGTTAGGTGTGTTATCATTTGGTGCGGGTAAACAGGAAACCGGGCGTCCTCTCCGATCGTCGACAATTTGTCAGCGGCGATCGTCGGGATGGCGACGGGCCAGGGCGGAAAGCTAAAATAGAATGCGAGAGACGACGGCGATGCACAATGGAGCCAGTTGGGCGCGCACGATGGAACGCGAGAGATACTACAGGAGCTCGGTGAGGAGCCGGGGGTCGTCCTCGACGAGCGACATCGCGGCTAGACAGAAGATCATAGATTGCTGCAGGAAGCTGGTGGCGTTCATGTGCACGCAGGTCGGGGTCGGAGGACTTGTCGTAGGATACACGGTGGTGGGCGCCTTCACGTTTCAGTACATCGAGACGATCGAGGAGAATCCGGCACTGGAGAAGGTGAACCGCACGAGGAGCCGATACGCGTACATCCTTTGGGAGATCGCGAACGAACAGAACGTGTTCAACGAGACGGCGTTCAAGCAGAACGTGTCTGGGGCGCTGAAGCGTTACCAGGACGAGATGGTTGTTTTCATGAAGAAAGGATACGACGGTAGGACTGTGCAAGACATGTGGTCGATACCTGCGGCGCTGATGTTCTCGTTGAGCATCATCACGATGATCGGGTACGGGAACATGGTGCCGCGCACCCCTTGGGGTAAGGGCGTCACAGTGCTGTACGCCGTCTTCGGTATTCCGCTCTACATCCTGTACTTTATGAACATGGGCGAGGTGCTGGCAGGCACATTCCGCTGGATCTACACCTGGTTGTACGAGTGCAGCACGGAGCGCGACGAGGACGAGCCGCCACGCAGGGTGATCGTTCCCAGTTCGGCTTCGTTATGGGTTATCGGTGGCTACATTGCCACCGGTGCGATAATGTTCGCACAATGGGAGCAATGGTCTTACCTGGACAGCACCTACTTCTGCGTGACGAGCCTCTGCAAGATCGGCCTCGGTGACTTCGTGCCCGGCGCCAACATCAACGACTTCAAGGTGGGCAGTCAGACCAAGCTGGTGGTCAACTTTGTCTACATGCTCGTCGGCCTCGGCCTCGTCGCCATGTGCTACAACCTCATGCGCGAGGAGATCAAGATCAAGGTGAAGGAGATGAAGGAGGACATGGGGCAGTGCCTCGAGGACACCAAGATGCGGTTCATTTCATGCGCGAACAAGTGCCGATCGTGATCTTCGTCTTCACCTGAAACACAACGCTACAAACTCTCAATATAGTCTTACATTTTAGTGACAATTTACCTGTATATATTACCATACCATTTGTGATACAACAAACAATAATTTTATTAGCAAACATTTCAATTCCAACGTGAACGTAAGTATTACAACACTCTGATTATTATGATAACTAACATAGCTTTTTATATTTTACAAAATCGTTCTGGCGCAGCACAATTCAATAAAGATCATTGTCCGAAGTTTTATTAATAGTTCTCGTGAAAAACTTCTTGTGCTTGAACATAAAGCGAAACCCATTTCGTTTCATCTTTAATCACCCAATTTACATTGTCGCGGTGTGCCCCCAATATGTGGGTGGGCAAATAAATGACATTCATCTGCAAGATTTATGCTCGTGTTTTGTCTGTGTTGTATTCTACCTATGAACGGCGTCTCTACCTTGGTGACCCAAAACGCGCCGAGAAATTTATGCGTTCACGATAAAACGCTCTCTTTGCGCTCGTTTCCCATAAATTATCCTGCGACGACCCATTTTTAGGAGGAGGCGCATATGTGTCAATAAGCCACGAGGCGTGGAAAAAAAAAGGTAGAAGGCAAAACGAGAACGATGGAATAAGGATGGGAGTGAAGGACGATCCCGTGTCGTAATTCATTATTTCGTCCTCCCTCCCTCACCGGACTATTCATAGCGTGATGGATCGTGAATTATTGCCTTCTGACAGGAGGACTCACGCTGAGAGAGACGTGAGAAGGAAGGATTCGAGCGGGAGGAAAGACATGTGTTCTCCGAAAGGGAGATCTATTCTCGGCTTTTCACTATTTTCTTCGTCCAATTTAGCTCTTCCAGTCTTAATGGCCCGCAGTGAAAATAAACGCGAATACAGTTTTATCGAGAGTGGCGCGCCGCCGTTTATTTTTATCCCTCATCTCGGCCACCTCTTCGCCGTGTGTTTTCGCTATATTTTATATCGGAAAGCCGTTAACATGTAACATATGCACACGAAATTAACGATCGCATCGCTGTTTGCCTTTAAACAAAACTTTCGTCGAGTGGTTTTTAAATTAGTTTTCTTAATATTTTCACGTTGTTGAAATTTAATGTTCCTTTTGAACAGAACCATAATTATTGATTGATTGATTGTTAGAAAATATTTAGTATAATTTGCAACTTACCAAATCTGTCTTCTAATTTAACTAATGACGATGCGACGCGACAAACTTGCTTTACTTTTGCCATATTTTGACTTTGTTATAAACGTTGCCATGGAGATTTTGAAAAATAGCTTAAAAAGGCGTCTACGATCTTGAATCGATACGAGAGGAAAATAATTGCAAGTAAATCGAATTTCGTTCGAAGTGGGCTGCGAAAATAGCATCGATCATCATCGCTCACACTCTCTTAAAGAGACGGCGAGAGGAAAGGAAAGAAATAAACATAAAAGAAACACAGTAAAAATCTTGTACTACATAGATCGATCTGTAAAACAGAAATATTTCCCAGCAAAAGAAAATAATCGTCGTTTTATTGGCAAACGGCTTTCGTGAGATTTATCGTGAAGTTTACTGCTTGCTACTCGTTTTCTTTCTCTCCTTCGGTAAAAATAAATTACCGAAGTGGCAGTAAAACGCGTTCGCCTGAATGATGGTGTTTTCTATGGGATTTACGAGCGTCTCTCGTTCTTTTATATATATATATTTAGTTTAGATTTGAGTAATAATGATTTGTTTGATTTTAGATGTGAAACATTGGAGCATGCTGGGGGCCCCATTGGCCGCGTCCCCCCTCAGACTGTGCGCTGTCCCTGGGTACGATGGAAGGTGCAACGATGTCGTTTACTGCAATCCGTCGCATCGCGCGGAAAATCAATCGACCGTCATCTACTTCGGCGGGGACATGCAGGTAGCGATAATGATCAGTTACACAGTTTGTCCTTAAGATGAATTAATGATGTACGCATTGCAGGACTTTACGGAGAATATGCAGTCGCACAGAGACAGCAAGAATTATCTGAAATGGAATCTGGAGGATACGGCTCGGATCCTCCACGGTAACTTTGCAGACTGTCACATCATCGTGATAAGACCGGCGAGGTGAGGATGGTTAGATCGCTTTGAAAGAGGAGAGTTGAGAATGCTTCGTCGTTTCAGAATCGAGTACAAGACTTTCAGCTGCTTCAAGAACTTCGTGCCGTGCAACAACTGCGGTTCGCCGGAGCACACGCCGATGCACTTTGCGCTGCAGCACCTCGAGCGACTTCTGCAGAACGTGTCGGAGAAGCTGCGCACGATGTCTGCGGAAGATGTTGACGCGGCGATATCTCTATCGAAGACCAGTCATATTCACGATGAGACTGAGGTGCAAATCGGTTTTGATCTACTCCAGCTTTCGTGTACGAACAAACTGTATATTTTTTTTGTCTGTTTGCATGTGCAGACTGAGGCGGAGCAGACGCCGCACGTCGGTAGCGATGAGGCGAATCTGTGGTGGCGCGAGAATCTGCACCTGGACAAGAACAATCTGCTGGTGATCGGCTTCAGCAAGGGCTGCGTCGTGCTGAACCAGTTCCTCTACGAGTTCCATTACCTGAAGACTTTGACTCCCGACGACCACTCATCGATGAGCGTCGTCTCGCGCATCAAGGACATGTACTGGCTTGACGGTGGTCATTCCGGTGGCAAGAACACTTGGATCACGTCGCGTCCCCTCCTGGAGACGCTCACCAGACTAGGTGCGTTTGACTACGTCCAATCAACTTGCAATCCTCTGACTTAATTCTGCAGGTATCAACGTCCACATCCACGTGACGCCGTACCAGATCCAGGACGATCGCAGACCGTGCATACGCAAGGAGGAGAAGGTCTTCGGGGATCTGCTTAGACGGCTCGGCGCTCCCGTCACCCGCACCATCCATTTCGAGAACATGTTTCCCAATCTCTACATGCACTTCGACATCATCAACGTCTTCAGATTAGTCAATGTCCACGGCTCCTCTACCCAATGCACCGAGCCCGCATCAAAATGATCTCTCCTCCAACTAACTTATATCTTTCTCTCCCTCGACTCTCCATAACGTTTCCTTCGAACGGAATTGACTTTTATATTTATTTACGTTTCCTTCGCATGAAAAACCCAACCCGCGTTTAATTTACACTCTTACATTAAGAGCCCTAAAGTTTATTGTTAACTATTTATATTATTTTTCAACCGCTCAACTCTTGTTTACTGTTCATCTCCTTTCGTTTTTCAATTGTTACTTCGGGCAATAATAAACAGGACGATTCACAACGAAAACTGCTGCTGATCCCAATTTAATTTCCCAAATTTGATTTCGTTACGATCTCTCTCTCTCTCTTCACTAGGATAATTGTACTCTGCGTAGAATTTATATCAAACAAAAAAAATTCTTAGCGAAGTTTTTTAGGAAATTGGAACAAAAATAAATCAAATTATTTATCGATTGTTTTCCGAGGAAACAAAGTGTATTTTTCAACAAAAAAGAAAAGGAAAAAATTATATTAATGAAACTAATAATAATAATAATAATCAATGAATATTGTCGGTCGCCAGATAGAACTTATTTAATACTAATATATTACGAATATTATGTTTTTAATTGTACTATTTCTCTCTCTTAATTTTATTTTTTAAACTTGTTTAAATATATACGTTTATGTATATATATATTCAATGTGTTGAATAATCGCAAATAGATGATTCAATATATATATATATAAATAATGATACTGTCTTACACTGATTTATCCTAGTTCATCCAATGTTATTAGAATTAGAAGATCACAAAAGTAGTAACCCATCATGGCTTTTTCCAATTTCTGCAGCTTATTGCAGACAACACGACAGCACGAAGATTATCTTAAGGGGTTGTCAAGAAATTCACGAAAAACTGAAAAAAAAACGTCGTTTCTCTGGTTTTTCAATTTCTACAACTCATAGCAGGCAAGTCGGCTGCAGTAGGCTCGTTGGAAAGGTGAGATATTCAGCTTTCATACGAGTGGTTGATGATGTAATTATCTAGATGGGTTGTCGAGATATTCACGAAAAACTGAAAAAAAGAGGGAAAAAACGTCGTTTCTCTATTACGTAAGGAACATTACGTAACTTTGGTTACGTAAAAAGTTGCGCAATACTTGAGTGCATCTGATTATGTAATAAAATCATAAAAAAGTTTATTACTTTTCAAGTTATTAACGATAATCTAGTTTTTGTGTAAATTCAATTCACTTTTTTTCCAATTTCTACAGCTCATAGCAAGCGACTCAATGACAGCACTAAGATGCCAGTAGGCTCGTTGGAAAAGTGAGACATTCAGCTTTCATACGAGTGGTCGATGGTATAACTATCTAGAGGGGTTGTCGAGTTATTCACGAAAAACTGAAAAAAATAGGAAAAAAACGTCGTTTCTCTATTACGTAACGAATATTTGCTAACCTAACCTAACCTAACC